TTGCCATCTTGCTTAGCACCCTCAATCACTTCATCATTATCTTTAATTACATGATTATGATTATATTGGTCCATCTGATTTGTTGCTTATTAATTAATTGCTTCACGATTAGATAAACTATTGTTTTGGAGAAATATAAGAGAGATTAAGGGCTTGCCGCCATGGAGGGGCCGTCGGCGTATGGAGGAGGGTTATCAATTTATCATGGATAGAAGTGATTTCTTGACAGATCTTGTATATTTTATTTAGGACAATGCCTATTTTTTACTCAAACCTTTTTCAGATTCTTTTATTTTAACCAAACCTATAGAAATTCTATTTATTATCCAAACGTATTATAATTTATCAAAGTCTGGGCATTCATTATGTTACCGTTACTTATTTCGTCCACGTGAGGGATGGGATTTTGTTTTGTTTTTTGATAATCTTTTTATTAAGATAGTAAATGATGGTATTCTGACCGTCACGTAGGAAGTCAACTCTTTATGGTCATACTTAGTCAGCATTACTAACAGAAAAGTTGACGGAGAGTTAACGTTTGGATAATTTTTAGGAATTTAATAGGTTTGGTTAAAATAAAAGAATCTGAAAAAGGTTTGGGTAAAAAATAGACATTACCCTTTTATTTATTACAAGTGAGTTGGTTTTTAATAAAGTTTGTACAGATCCAACATGTCGGGCGTTCACATCTAATTGTTAATATTGGTGGGTCGGTGAAAATTCGACCATATTACCTTACGAACAGTGGCAGATTACGAGAAGGGCCTTCCCAGGCCACGACCTAGTCCTCCTTCGAGTCCAGAGCTAGTATAGCAAACGAGATTTGCTTGCTTTTTCCAGCCCTCTCTGCCTCGTTCGACCCATTACTAGTCGGTATCTTCCTATTCGAATGTGGCTCAGTGCTCTACTATGTAATGGATTCGTCGTCACTGACTTAAGATCAAAAGTTTTGATACCATGTTATGTATCAGTTGATGTTAATACTCAAATTGTTAAAAGAAATAGAATACAATAGGTTTAACAAACGTCGATATTCCAACACAAAACTTTCCTAATATCTCACAATTTTTTAGTTTGGGCGAGAGTGAATTTAGAAACCTTATATAAGGGTGCATTGAACTTAATCGAAAGTAGGGGGAAAAGATTTGGTCCGAATCCGATTCATTTAATTAATTAAATTAGATTAAATCAATTTAGAGCACCACCGCGGCCGCCTAATGTTCTTCGCGTAAGCTTCCCATTTTCCTCGTGGCGGGTTCCTGCTGGTTTCGTTCCGTTTGAGGGGCCCAGTTGGGTTTCCTGGTGGCTGGTCCAGTCAAGCTGGCTAGCGGGTAGCCCGTACACAAAACATTGGTTGAGCCCAATAAGGCCCACTCTTCACCTCGTGGGTTGGCCGCCCACCAGTTTCGTGGTCTCAATTCAACCTCGTCACTAGTGGGCCACCTTTACACAAAGAGATGTTACCCAACCAAATTCGTACAACGTAAGTAAATTAACAAAAGTACTCTACACTTTTTGAAGCCATAAATGATTGCATGTTCTCTAAAAAGAGGGTTTTACAACCTACTGTATGGACATTTGGATCAATAGAACAACAATCATATGAAACGAAGGGGGGAAAACAACCCATGTAAAACATGAGTCTCGTCGACCCGATTATCTCTAAATTCATCTCGCTCAATAACAGCGTTAGGAAGTTAATTGATAATAAAAACAAAGCGGAGAAGAGAACTTCCCGAGAAATTAGGCCGCGGCTCAAACAGAGTAAGAAATAGAAACACCCAAAATTTGATACGGTTCATTGCACAATTGAAACTAGCTGGATGTCGAAGAACGTAACGATCTCTGAAACGCAATCCTCAAATGACTTAAACTCCCCAACATAATCGTTTGGACGACGAGTAGACAGAAGGAGGTACAGTTCTGAAACGATAATGAATTAAATTCTTTCAATATTTTACTCGTAATGAAGCAACTAGGCATTTTGAAAAATACTCTATTCCTAATTAAAAAATGGTTACTTATCCAAACACAGATCGATGAAAATGGTTGGCAGCAAGACGTTTTTTCAGTGGATCTGAAATCCTCTCCCGTAGGGCTGGGGGGCTGGCTGGGATTTCCTCTGTTTCTTTAATGTGGAGGAATCTAGCTCGTAGGATCTGGAAGATCAAGTGCTAATGATCTATCTGGTGATTAATTATATATTATTATAATTACGTACGTTAATGACAGTAGTAAAGCATATATCATGGGGAACTCTGTGTTTATGAGAAATTTTACAATGCTATATAGTATTGGTACTATAGGTTTTTGTCTTTATGGTACAACTTAAAATTGTACATTTACGTTATGGTACAACTTTATATTGTACCTATACTTTTTGTACAAATTCTTTTATGGTGATGGTACAACTTCAAGTTGTAAAGTTGTACCATAACATAATGGTACAAATTGCTTTATGGTATAACCTAAACTTGTACATTTAATGTTATGGTACAATTTTGAGTTATACATTGAAGCACCAATGCTATATAGCATAGTAGAAGTGCTCTTGTGTTTATGCAGTTAAATTATATATGACAGAGGACATAATTTGCAAGGGTGAGATTAGAGCAAACAATAACTGGCCTAGCTACAAGTTCTCCACCCACCATATTTTAGTGGAGGGGCCAAAGATGAAAACAGGGTTATTACTTAGTTGATGGTCTTTCAAAAAATAGATCACGAGATTATTCGTATTAAGCGGGCGATTGTCAGGTTATGATCTATCTTTTTTTCACGAGGGTTGTTGAAAATCATTCAAACTACCGAGATTATAGTACGTAGGTTAGATTATAAGAGTGATGTCGGAGTAACAATAACAAAATGAATAATAATGGGGTCGTTTTGATGAGGAATTGTAATGGATCGATTTGACACAATTGTCTCGTTTTGAGACAATTGTACCAAATTGCCTCGTTTGCCAGCAAAAAATTTGGATGGATCAATCTGACTGAGGTATTTTCAATTGATCCGTTTTGAGTCAATTTCAATTACCTGGGGTGGGGGCAGGTAATTCGAAATGACTCGTTTTAATTACCTCGTTTATAAAACGAGACAATTGATCAAATTGACTCATTTCTAGATTGATCCACAAAAAACATCCAACTTTATAGCTTATTTCCGACAAATTGATTGGCTGCGTAGCTTGCTTCTTACTTCGTCTTCTTCGGTCACCAAAGAATCTCCTCTCCTGCCGCCGCCGCCGGTCGATCTGTGCCCTATTGTTGCCAAGTTTTTGGATTTTCAGTATTACTCCACCACGCTAATAGCGATTCCTTCCCTTTGTTTCTTTCTTTTTTGGCTTTGCTCAGTCGCTGGATTTCCTAAATCTTGGAACTTTTGTATTCTTTGGTGTAAGATTAACTTGAATATGGATGCTCACTTTTGTACTGACTTGTAAGCTCGTAGATCACACAAAATCCTTCAATCAAACCATCCCCTATAATATATATGATAGTAACAAAACATTGTACCTCTATTAGGTCGACGGAAAGACTAGCACATGCTACATCGTCGGAATAAATCTCATGTGTGTTTTTTTATTCTCGGAGTGATGAAGTGAGCATGTACTCCTGTTCGTTGGATCCGAGCGACATGGATCAGAGTAGGTTCTTCAAATAATGTCATGATGTTGATCTAACAATTGGGATCGCGAGAGGGATAATCCGACGACTTCATCTCCATCAGATCGCTGCCCCCTGAATGTTCATAGCCTTCAGATTGACACAACGACATGAGTTTGTGTGTACAACTATTGGATCTACATGGAAGCAAACAAGCAATTACACAACCAACAACGCCACTGTTATGATTCATTTCTCTTAGAAACACGGAAAGTTAATACAACGTATTCGACACAAGTCAATTTCGTGATTCTGCATCGTCATACAGTGCAATGAACCTTGATTCTAATTAAGCTATAACAGAAAACCCAAAAAGAAGCTAAACCAAACTCTGAGTTGAAATGACACCAGCCTAAAACCCTTTTGTTGAGATGATGCCACAGGAATATCTATGAAGATGCTTCCCCCCAAATCTACCTAAAACCCTTTTTAGGTGCCCAATTGGTTTGGTCCTTTTGACATTCATCTTCTACTTGCACTCAACCAATCTCCCATTTCTTTCCATATTTCTAAACAACAAACTTCCATCCACCCCCCAATTCTCACTTGTACAAGTAACTTTTTATCATTCTCTTTCACTTCATCAAGTTACTGTTCATCAAGCTAACATCCCTCACTGTTGCAGTGCTTAGATTATAAGTTACCCCTAATCAAATTCGGCCACACTGCTTGGTACATCATTCGTAAGGACACGTATATAGCTCACACAGTCGTTCGATCGAGTCGTCGGGTATTTTCCACGACAGTTGTCCAAATGAAGGAGATCTTACTTACAAAATTGTCACCACATTTATCCAACAATCAGCTCCGTTCCAATTTCATAAAATGTACACGAACGAGTAACAACATAAGGGAACACATATAAAGATCAAAGATTCAAAGTTGCTAACTTTATTGGAGAAATCAATCAAAATTTATTGATAATAATAACTGATCATAATGTGAAACCATTAAGGAATCAACCAGAGAATCTATCTGTACATTCAGCCAGCCAGGCCACAAAAGAGCCACCAATCATATAACCTTCTCTTCTGTCAAAAACACTACTAATGTCAGCTTTGCTTTGTTTCCTCCCTAATCTCTCTAATCCTACTTTACCTTTTAACAATTTCCCAAACCCCCTTTTTTCCCCCACAAAAACCCAGAAAAAGGGAGATGAAAAATAATTAAATAAATGAATCAATTGAATTGTTAGAAGAAACCCAGCAACCAAAAATTGCTCACCACCACCACCCTAATTTAAAATTAGAAAAATAAAAATTACTAAATATCTGCCCAACTTGCTTTCCCTAAAAAAAAAAAAAAAAATTCTCTTCTCTGTCTCAATCATCATCATCACCTCACTACCAGCCAGCTCTCTGAATCCCCCCAACTCAACATCTCCTGCTGCTCGCCGCCGGCCAGCTGCCGGATTCTTTCCGCCGGCAAGGCGGTCGAGCAGCTCGAGAACGAATCGAATGGGTTCGATTCGAATTCCGATCGGGCCGGTGACGATTGGACCGACGGCGACACCCACTCGGGGAAATCGAACGGGCACCGCGGGGACACCGATGGAAATTCCTCTCCCGAACAGCAAACGGCGTCGTTTCCAATTTCGTCGGCGCTAAGGAACGGATGTTCAAGAAGCATCGCGGCGGTCCATCTCGCCGCCGGATCCTTCACGAAGCAATTGGACAGGAAATCCTTCAATTCCGCCGACGATTCCTCCGGGACCGCCGGCGACTCGTCGCCGGCCCCGATTCGCATCAAGAACGAGAAGATGTTCGTCCCGGGCTTGTAATTCCACGCCGGCTTCCCCGTCAGCATCTCGGCGACGGCGCATCCCAGAGCCCAGATATCGCACGGCGGCTCGTAGGCGTTCTCGTTGACCGATTCCGGCGCCATGAACAGAGGAGTCCCACGAATCTCCACTTTCTTCTCCCTCCTCCCCTGTTTTTCTTCCGCCTCCCCTGTTTTTTTCGCCAGTCCGAAATCCGCAATCTTAACTTCCCCATCCCCGAAAACCAACAAATTCTGGAGCTTTACATCGCAGTGAACAAATCCCTTCCCGTGGATTTGATCCAAACCCTTGAGAATCGATCTCGTGTAGCTTCTGACCGTCGATTCCGGCAATCTCCCGCCGGATTTCTTGACGTGATCGGCCAGGCTGCCGCCGGAGGCGTACTCGAGGAACAAATTTTGGAGGCTCTGCCCCTTCTCGAAGCTGCAATCTTCGCCTAAGCAGCGGACGATGTGGGGAGATTTCCCGATTTGGTCGAGGATTAGCTTCTCGTTCTTGAGTAAATCAGAGTCACCGGCGGCGCAGGACTTCACCGCCATTACCGACGGCGGGGCGAAGTGGGTCCCCCGGAAAATTGCTAAATCCACCGTCGAGGAGCTGCCGTAACCAATTGAGTCGCCGCGGATCCAGTCCATGTTTGTGGGTTTTTAGAAGGAAGAGAGCAAAAAACAGAGAGAGTTGAGAAGGAAGAAGGAAAACAGAGTGTGAGAGAGAGAGAGTTGAATTTGGCGGAAGAAAGGAGGCGATTGGGGTTTATATACGGGGCGGGGAGGTGGGCGAAGGTTAATTGGGATTAAGTTAATTAGAATGTGATTAGATGGGAAATTTAATTAATTGATTTTAATTACGAGGAAGGGTATAATAAATGCACGTGATAAGTAAGGGGGATTTTTCGTGGGGGCCGAATTGGACTTGGAAAAGGAAATTAGGGAGAAGACGCCTTGTTTGCTTCTCAATTTTCTTTTTTTTCGTTTTTATTTTTTACGAAGTGGGATTCGCGTTTACACGGTGGCTGACGTATTCTTTGAGCGTGTTTGAGTTTTACCCTTTCGTAGTAAAACAGTGAGGTTACGCGGGATATAATGTGGATATGGACCATATGGTTGTGATTCTGTGTTTTGGGTATTAAATATTTAAATGTATAGAAGTAATTAGGAGATTCACTACAGATTTGTAGAGCACGTCTTTACATGGCCAGCCAAGAACAAAGTGGTAATTTTATTATGCTGGAAAATCTTGCTAGTATTTCACATGCATTTTGAGGAATACTTCTAAGGTGGAAAGAATGTTGAGAGACCTAATAGGCTCGTATCGTTGATCTGATTATTTCGTCTTATCGTCTCTAATTATACTGATATATGATATTGTGGGTTCAGACTAATATAATTGTACTTTTTTTTTTCAAGAAACAAAGTTATGATCCTGTTTAGAGAATTAAAGGTTGGAAATATTTTGTGTATGGAAGGAGGCCACTTTCACTTGGGAAAGGTAAGTCAAAGAAGTCATTGGAAAAACCCTAGTAAAACACTTATAAGTAACCTTATAGGCTATAGGTACCCCTCCTTGAGGTTTAAGCTAAGAAGATCCATTTTTATGTTTGCGGCATCAATGACTTCAAAATCTCAACAAAATTTTAATTACTAGCCGTAATTTCTTGTTGTCTAAATTATCGCCAGATACATTTATCGATTTATGTTTGACGCTTACTTTTCATTTCTTATAATATTGAATTTGATTGATAACGAGCAACTATTAAAGGGAAGAAAAAAAATCTCATAGTTACCCTATAGAGATCATGAAATGTCCTTTAAAAGTGTGAAAACCACATTATTTTTTCTCGAATTCGATTCTGAAAAATGATAAGGAGTTGTACAACCCAAATAAATTGTAGCACCCCATCCCTCGAAATGGAATTGCCTCTTCGAGTGATAATAAGTAGCCCTAATTATTATACAACACAATTGTGACAAGGGGAAATGCCTTTCACGGTTCATATATATGTACTTTAAATACATTGATTTGATATATAAGTTCATGTATGTATGTGTCTCTGGACAATTGACAAACAAGTTCAAAACAACGTGCATGTATGTCTTTGTCACCACTAATTGCCACATCATTTGGAAACATAGTTCTAAGTTCATCTTGCAACTTAATTAATAATATTCATTAATAAATTGACGGAGGGGATCGTTGTGCATGAATAGTGACATCTCATGTTGGAATCAAATCCAGATCTCATAAAATATTTATACGTAAAAAATGACATAATTGTATATATGGTTCATGTAATATATGGATGCATATCAATGAAGACGTGAAGAATGATAAATCACCACTAGCCCTTAATTAAGATTGGGTAAATAGATATGCAAAGATTACACTCTTGATTTTATATGTATAATAACGAGTTTAGACACCCTCCAAGGTTGAAATGGTTTAGCATGTATTCATGTGTACATTCTTTTACCCTGTTCTCTTTGGCTATTCGTTTTCTGCAGTGACCAATATAGTGAGCACTAACCAGATTTGTGACAATAAAAACATTTATGGTTTTCATGTACAGTTGTTGTTCTGACTGGTTTAGATTCTTCGGTTCCGAGCAAAGAGCTCTCTCAAGTAAACGAATTTCTGAAAATACTTTTGTTCCGGGACAATCTTGATACTCAAACAAATTAACAACACTAATAATGCCCTGAGAGACGGCGCCATGGAGAAAGAAAAAAAACGTACACCGCCATCCCAAATCAGTTCTCAACAGCCACGTCGCATTGTGAAGAAAAAGAAAAGGAAAAAGAACGACTCACATCGACAACCACGCAAGAAGAGCAAAAATCAACCGTCCTTTCTGTAGCAAAAGTGATCCAACCTCGTCGGCGTATCCTGATTACCCCAATCATCCTCTCTACAGCAATGGAGTCGACGTTCGAATGCTTTTTCACTTGCGGTTTCTTGTACGTATCGACCTCCATCTTCAGACCGTACTTGCAGGTTTCTTGCTCGATGTAGCGGAAGGAAACGTCCGACATGTAACCCCTGTAGACGAGAATCTCTAGCGGCGGAGCCACGTAAAAGCGCTCGCTCAGCCTCAAAGCCATCTCCAGATCTTCTTTGACATACACCTATCTAAAGCGGCTTCTTGCTCCATTTGCTACGCTTCGATCTCGCCTTCGACCAAGTCAAGATTTGACTTGTGGGCATTTACCTGTCGCCTTGCCTTGTCCCCTTGCAACATCGAGCCAATCGCTTCTTTGAGAAGCTCTTCTTCCCGCTTCACCATTTCCCTCAAGATCTCGTTTCTTTTTCTTTCTTTTCTCACTTCACTTCTTGGTAGCAACGACTAATGAAGAACTACTTTAATTTCTCGCTTGGTTGGATTTTTTGTTCGTTTCAATTTCTAACTACCTAGAAGAGGGAGAACTAATTTTTAGATTAGTTCTTCGTTGTTCCCAACCACAACAGCAATACGAACAATATTCACCATGCCAACGATTTGAAGCTAGACTATGATATTACTTGGCTTTCTATATGTACAGGTTGTAGGGTATTGCTTGAACTTAGGTCACACAATTCGCCAAACCAGCGTCAGCGCTCCCGCTTTAGAGCGCCAAAACGCGAATTAGAGGAAATTCTTCCAAAATTCGTGAATTTTTATTTCACAGAAACTGAGGAGAAGAGAAAGTAGCGGGTGATGACAATCGATTTGAAGAAGGAGATGTAATCGCTGGCTAGTTGATAGAGGATGCCGAAGTCTGCATCTGCCAGAGAATCTTTCAATTGGAAGATTTTGAACTTTGTGGAGAACGATTTATCAGTTTGGATCAATGATTGTAAACACTGCATGTACCGGTGGAGCTCGCCTGGGTTTAGAAGACTGGAAGGTTGTAGGGAGAAAAGGGAGGTTTGTCGATGGGAGGATGATGTAGTCTGTGGATCGACAGGATGTAAGCTATGTAGAGTGAATTTTTAGGTAATAGTATGATCGTCTTTAGAAAGGGATCTAGAGAGGATTTTGCTGAAACGAGAAAGGATGGATGGAGCAGGGGAATGAGTCGGTGACTTTGATCTAGGTCTCAACTTGGCAGAGTTTCGATTAGGGTTTCTCAATAGCCCAGTTTGGGCTCAATCACTTAGTTGGGCCACAGACTCTTTTATCCGCTAGTTTCCCTGGGCAATGCAAGATATGCCAGTGTTGTGCATAATCAAATAGGCAATTTATAATTTTTGTTCTGTCGTATTTAATTTGGTTTTACCATTTTAAGTAATTAAAGATATTAGCTATTAAATTGGTGATGCTTTTTGTTTGACTTACTTAGGATGTAACCACAAAAATTTTGAATTAGTGTAATTTTTCCTACGAGGTGTGGGAGTAATTTGGCATATTTTTATATCATTTTAAATAATATTAATGCTCTATCAACGCTCTGAATTTATAATTCTTCATAGATAGACGCTTTCCCCTCTCGCTCCCGCTCTCGCTTCCACTCCACGAATTGGTAAGCTAAGCTTGAACTAGTCAATGATTTTGCCCTTCTCAGATTCTTTAGTTGGGACTTGGGACTTGGGTTTTAGTTCTGGAGACCACACCAACAAAAATAGTTTAAATTATGAGATTAAAGAAAAAAGATTTTTCATATAATACAAAAGAAAAAGAAATTAGTCTACACTGTGTACATATATAATGCAAAAGCAAAAATAATTATAAGATTAAGAAAAAAGATTTTTGGTTGAATAAAGAAAATTATTAAAAGAAGAAAGAGAGCTCAATAAATAGATCATCAAATAATTTTTTTGTTTGGGAAACCATGTCCACCTAAGCAACTTACGAAGTCACCAAATGCTTATGTGACAATATGTTACTTTTGATAAAAAAAAGTCCCACAATAAATTTTATATCATCGTCTTACAATTCTGTTTTTTCAATTTTCACCGAACTTGTGTAATGCTCTAATTTGGGCACTCCATACCATAAGTAACAACCCAGAACAAATTAGGGTCATAGTAGGAACAAAAACAAAACCAAACGTCCCCTAAATGTTTGTTTAAACCCATACATGTTACTCACCACTACAACAAAACCCACATATAGCGGCTAATTGTTGAGGCAAATATTGTATTTGCCTCTAAAAGGATATTATATGCAACATATATATAATTTGCCTCAATAGTTTCAATTATGTGCCTCTAAAAGTATGAGATATACTACAAATATATAATTTGCCTCAACATGTTCCATTATGTGCCTCTAAAACTATGAGATATATTACAAATATATAATTTGCCTCAACAGATACAACTATGCGCCTCTAAAAGTATGAGATACACTACAAATATATAATTTGCCTCTATAGATCGTCTATATACAACAAATATAAATTCTGCCTATTTGTATTCTTGATTTAACTATTATAAACTAATTCTTATAAATATCTACTTACAGAGGCACATTATAATTTCTTTTTTATACTATAAGATTTAGAGGCAATTATGGCATGGGTTGTTTTTGCTTTTTGAATAAAATTGTGGGCTTGTGGCCTAATTGATGGCGGGAGTTTGGGCGCCCATTTTTTCATTTTGATTTTTGAACGGGACATGAGATTTCTAGTTTTTTTTTTATTAAGATTTAAGAGTTTTT